GTATCGCAGCCTTATGAGTTCGTTTATCCAAGGGGTGAAATAATCCGGGTCGTAGGATGAGTCTGAGCTCCAAGATCGCGTCATGGTATCATCGTTGATGGGACAGCTCGGGTCGGGTTATCGTCACCGTGCACGGGCACGTGTAGGGCAGGCGAACTTAGTTGCGCCTCATCGTGCCTGTACGGGCTGACGGTTCCGCCGCGAATCTTTTTGGGTGGGCGAATCGACGCACGAGAATGCGTGTAAGGGCGCGACTCGGATCACGTTTACACGTGTTCTCGTGCGGCGTTCGCGGGGCCAGACTTCGGATCGTCTAATTGCTTCGTAAGTTTCGATTATGCAAGATGCAACCATATCTCAACCCCATCGTGAGACAAGCAAAAACGAGAACAAAATCGCTATCGGGGCCTGATTCTTATCCCATCTATAGCGGCATCAGGTGCAAGCAAGGATTCGACATAAACAAAAAGCAAGGACAGGGATTTTTTGCGAAAAGATAGACAAGCAGGCATAACCTTCATATATCCATACATTCGACAATCATACACGTAATGCAATCGCAAGGACAGGTGTGAGAAAAAACCCAAGTCCAGATTCCAAAAAGCCGAAACGAAAATAAGAACAGGCAAACCGCCCGGAGCCGCAATCAAAATGTATGTACACAGATGAAGAGGGGGAAGAGACAAAGAAACAGCAAATCCGCGTCCATCGACCTCAACTCTCTTCTCCTCTCTCTCTCTCTCTCCGATGCGGACAGTCCGTCGTCGCGCACCAACCCACGAAGTTGTCACCCCGCTTAGTCCTCCCGCATCCGTCGGATTCGCCCGTGCCCACAGTCCGTCGTGGCCCACGTCAATCCTGCGCGTTCGGCACCAGCCCGTCGGGCCGCCCAACTCCTACTCTACTCACCTCTTACTTCGCTCGTGTGCCGACCCTTCCTGATCGCGCAATCCCGAGCTTCCGACAACGGGTTAAGAGAGCTGACTAATCGCGCAGCCGAAATTTATAGCGTGCATGCATGCGCGAAGAACACGGAATTACCAGGACTTAGAGTGGGGATTAGAGAGGGAGCGCCTGCGTTCTGCATGATCGGCCGCGGCGTGGGGGACGTAACCCTTCTCCACGCATCGATCCGAGCATGCAAGCCGCGGCTTACAAAAATTTCAGCAAAAGAAAGAGAGGGATGGCGGGAGAGACGGAGTGCAAGAAGAAAGATACAGTTACAATGGCACCCGCCCAAAATTATAGTTACACACACGATTAAGGGCGCCCACTAATCAGAGTACCGTTGGGGCCGCATGAAGAAGCGCGTAGACAAAAGGCACCGCACGGCAGGAAAAATTCTGATTACCGAATTCCTAAATTCCTATCTAATGCGAAAAAGCAAAAAGTACAAATTCTAGAAGGAAAGTCTGAAATTCCGAGAGTCATCGGGGCTCGACAAAATTCGAAAAAGACTCAAAAGAAACTTCAAAAGAACGAAGCAATTTCCCGCGCGATGTCCGCGCCCAAAAGATCAAAACCGAAACGAAAGAAACGTCGTCAATATTTATTAATTGCGCGCGTGGTGGCGCGCCACACATCCATCCGACCAATCAATCAACCGTCTGTCCCAGGACACACCCAGCTCTGAACCAAGAGATCCGACAAGAAGCGACGAAAAAGGACAAAAAGCAAGGGTACTGATGCAATTTTCTACCGATCCCAATCTCCCGTAATTGGCCCAACCTTCCCAGCTTAGGACCCCTCATTGCAACCGCGCAGAAAATCGTGCGTTACAGAGAGTGGTTCGTCACACCGGGGCCATGCCCGACTTGCAGGAGTACCAGCCTAGGATCGTGACACTCTGCACTGTGAGACAGGTGATGGAGCCATTGATTCCGTTTTGATGTCAGGGGCAGGAAAATTAGTCGGATTGTCCACTTGATGTAGCTCTGTGGTCAGACCACCCTTTTTTTTTTTCCTTTTTTTTCTTTTCAAACCAAGGCCGATTCAGACCTACTAGGCAAGGTGATAAGAGCAGCCTCACCTAGTAGATCCCTACGCAGCCACTGCATCTATCGGTGGGGAGTATCACCTGCTGGAAAACGGGTCCAGCGTCCCTTATACAGAATAATTCAGGAAAATGTCAGCATTGATTGCTCTGGTTTCCAGAGGATTAACTGTGCTGAGAATGATCTGCCAGCATTGATTGCTCTGGTTTCCAGAGGATTAACTGTGCAGGTTGTTGAGAAAAAGGGGAAAACCTCTTTGCCCTCTGTACCAAGCGCCAGATACCTACTGCTGAGGAACTAGTTCCTCCTTCTCCCAACTACCTTTTACCCAAGAATCTTTACCGCCTCATTTCTCTGTCTCTTAAACCTTAAACCCTTTCCCCCGAGTACATCAGTCCTCCTATCCCGGGATAGCCCCCATTCCTTCCCATCTTTCTCCCCCGTACCAATCTATTCCTACTTGGCTGTTTGCAAGGGGGGGAAGAAGTCCAGGAATTCATCACATGGTCGCATTGGGATTGAGCCATCTTGCTTGGTCCAGTCATGGAAGATGAGTCAGTACTTGTTGCCCTGCTTCCTCTCTTGTCCCCTTCCCTCCCCATTCCATTCCACCTTTCCTATCTTCCTGATTCCCCCCCAAGCCAGCTTTTGCTGAATTCTTGTATCCTTTGCTTTATCTCACTGTCCTAGCTGCCCACCCTAACTTCTTTTGACTGACACTTTCTTTCAGCTAAGGGTGAGCCATCCTTATGAAATGTCTGCCCACCCTAACTTCTTTTCGCTGACACTTTCTTTCAGGTAAGGGTCAGCCATCCTTATGAAATGTCTGCCCACCCTAACTTCTTTTCGCTGACACTTTCTTTCAGGTAAGGGTGAGCCATCCTTACGAAATGTGTGCCCACCCTTTTTTTTTCCTATAAAAAGTCTAGGGTGTTGTAGAGGCCAGTTACTGGGCACACATTGATCGCCGGAAGCGGTCAGCCATGGTCGCTCTGAGGAGTCGAGGCCACCACCCATCCCATCCTCACGTCAATACTCCTAACGCATCCCCCTATCCCTACTATCCTACCTCAGTGTGACCAGCACTCAGGAGCATCACCCTACGTATCGAGGGGAACTTGGATCGAACAGTAGTGACAGGCACCAGGGCTAGCTACCCTGCCCTGGTTGAAGCATAGTCAAACGAGCCTCGTCGTACGGGTACTTCGGACGCCAGGCTCAAGCAATCACCTATTGGCCCCTAAATTGACCAACTAGTAACTCACGCCCTAACTTCTTTTGGCTGACACTTTCTTCCAGGTAAGGGTGAGCCATCCTTATGAAATGTCTCCCCACCCTAACTTCTTTTGGCTGACACTTTCTTTCAGGTAAGGGTGAGCCATCCTTATGAAATGTCTGCCCACCCTAACTTCTTTTGGCTGACACTTTCTTTCAGGTAAGGGTGAGCCATCCTTGTGAAATGTTTTTGGGCATCTGAACCAATAGGAGGGTGGCTTTCATTTTCCGGGAGTGCATTAGACCAGTGGGAGGGTGGCTTTTCATTTTACGGAAGTGCATGGAGCAATGGGAGGATGGATGGCTTCTCATTTTCTGGACGTGCGTGGAAATCCCCGGGGCCATGTCCCACTCGCAGGAATACCAGACTAGGATTATGACACTCCACACAGTGAGATTGGTGATGGAGCCATTGATTCCGTTTTGATCTCAGGGTCAGCAAAATTAGTCGGATTGTTGAGGGCATGAGGCTGTGCAGAGGTTGGGCATCGGGATACAGGGGTGAGGCAGGTAGTTTGGGGCTGCTGAAAGGCCTTTGGCAGCTGGTTTTTTCGTTCATAATGCTTCTTTGATCCGAGCCTTGGGGGACATAATTTTAGTGTTCCTGTAAAAAAAAAAAAAAAAAAAGGACTACACAGTTGTCTTTGTAATGGCCCCGATATCTCAAGGATTTTTCCATAAATTTCTCATTTTCAATATGATCTTGAATGGGACGCTGGGCCCAGTTCCCAGCACGTGCTGCTCCCCATGAATAGATTGGAGCATGTCCCTAATAATAAGAAGAGAAAACTGGGGCGCGGTCAGGGTTAGAGTTTGAAAATATGTTTCAAACTTCCGTTTTGGAGTCCAGTCCCCTCTGAAGCTTACACTGCAGGCCAAACTCCTCCGTCGCGTGGCTGTCGCAGGGCAGAGTTTGTAACTGCAGTCTAGTCATCCACGTCGGAGGGGCAGGCCGTTTTCCAAAAAAAGAAAGAAGAAACAAGAAGAAAAAAGAAAAGATCGCGGCACTGAATCTTTCCATGTTCTCGCGGAAGATTCACTCTCAGTTTCCATGATTGATCTCGAAATGTGCAAAAAGAGAGTGAATCTTCTCTAGAACATGGAAAGATACAGCGCCATGATTTTTGTCTTTTGTGCAACGGGGATACCGGAGCCCAACAAGATACACGGGCTGACAACAACACAGAGGCCCTAGGGGATACACGTGTTGACAACGACCCAGTTTCTTTTCTTTTTTTTCTCTCTTTTGTTTTTCCTTCTCAGAGTTCCCGACCTATGCGTGTCATCCTTGGGGTCTCGTGGCAGTGCATCTTTCCATGTTCTAACTGAAGATTAACTCTCGTTTTGCACATTTCGAGAGTAGTGGAGCCCCCCTCACTCCACTACTACTCTCGAAATGTGCAAAACAAGAGTGAATCTTCCGCTAGAACATGGAAAGATACAGCGCCCTGATTTTTGTCTTTTGTGCATGTCAAGAATAGTGGAGCAAGGCCCTCCTTTTTTTTTTCTTTTTTTTTTTTCAATCTCAGCCCCGTCGCGTGGCTGGCCAAGGCCGCAATGCCTCGGCCACATCCGAGGTAAAAAAAAAGAAAGAGAGAGAGCATCTTGTCGTGTGGCTGGGCCACGGCCGAGATGGAGGATGGAGAGGATGCTGTACAACGAGATCCATGCGAGCATGCTGGGCAACCACACCATTTTCCCTCCCATAATTGCCGACACTGGTAGTCCGGAAGGGGTGCAGTTGCCAAGGCGAGGAGCGGGAGGCGGGGAATTTGTCGGAAGTGAAGCCGGCGGTGATGGCGGCGCGGACGACCGTTCTTCGGCTAGGGACTCTGATCAAAATGCAGGTAGCAGGGCTGGAGGCCGAAAGCGGAAGAATGTACGTCGGCAGACTTTCGAGGCAATCACTGATGTGATGGACCGGCATGGGCAACTCATGGCGTCGACGATCGATTCGTCGAGCAAGCGGCAGTGCAATATCTTGACCAGGCAATGCGACATACTGGAGCAGGAGATAGCGGTTCAGGGAGCGCATTATGCGACATCCGACGAAACACAGAAGATGATGAGCCACGCTCTCATGGAGATCGCTGCCGCCGTTCGTGGTCGTTCGACGATGTAGACCCTTCCTTCGTGTGATGTCTGTCATTCCGCTCTTGCGCTTGTCAGGGTCTTCCTTCTCTCATAGACATGAAATTAATTTTTTCTATTTTTGTCCTATATTTTTACTTTTTTCCGGTCCTCTGCCTAGTCGGTCGTGTGCCTGTTGGGTTGATCGTTGTGCTGATCTTTCCGCTGATCATTCATTGCGAGTCATCGTCGCTCTCCGACCGCTGAAAGGACAAGGCCGCCAGCAGTATAAATCACGGTCCATAGCTAGGCGAACCACTCCGCGCCAACAGAACCTTCACCGTCGTTACGGATCCTGCAATACCTCCACTCGCTCGCTGCGACATTGAATGCTTGCTGTCTTCCACGATCCGCCGTCATCCGCTCGCAGCGCGCCATCAGCGTCCATCGTCAGCCACGTACGCAGGCAGCCACCTTGTAGATCGCATGAAGCGGGATATTCTTCGGGAAGGCGGTACTCGTACTCCTTGCCAGTGTGGAACGTCGTTGGCTCACCTCCGGGACGGACGTCTACAGCAGTGAAGCGCTGCAGGACGTAGTAGCGCAGCGTCAGGCAAGGCCATGTCTCCAAGGGGCGGATGCGGTTCTCGTGCACGCGGCAAGAAGCGTGATGCACCTCATGACGACGGCAAGTGATGAAGGCGAAAAAGGATCGCCGAGACGGCGCGTCATTCAACGGCGCAGAACGGACGGGGATGGGTGGGGAAGGCTAAGCGGGACCGATGATAATGACGTCTTCTCGACAGGCGCTCCTGACGTTCAGCCGCCGCCACTGCCGTCGAACGTTCATGCAATCGCTGGGGGGTCATTTGCGCAGGCAACGACTCACGACGAGCGCATCATCAACGTTGAAGTGAATGAAGACGCGCGGTTGGACGAAGGCCAAGGCGGCGCGGTGCCCGAACGTAGCGCAATGCAGCCGGTTACACTGCCGACAACGCCACGTCAGCAGCACGCAGTTGTGGCCACAGGGGGGGCGACGCCCAGACAGGCAGTCCCACTGCCGGCAACGCCACGTCAGCATTGCGCGGGCGATAATGTTGGATCTGGTGTTGCAGCCAGCACTGCGACGGCGGTGGAGCCGCCGCAACCCCGCCACGCAGGTGCGGACGTGGGAGTTGTGGCAGGAGCACCGCGGGGGGCGACAGGGGAAGGCCGCAGGGGAGAGGACGTGGCGAGCGCAACGAAGGTTGCGCGTGCGGAGAAGAAGAGGGCGGGTGAGGATGACGAACCTCTCGTCAACAGGGTGCGCAAAGGCGGACTGGCAAAAGATCTGGCGGAGCGGGCGAGACTGTGGGTCGACGACAAATCATTCTGGACGTCAGGGGAGGGGCGCAAACTCTACAATATCATCAACGAGACATGTGAGCACCTCGTCTCCGTCGCAAGTGGGCTTCCACTCCTGAACGTCCCGAGAAGCGTCGCCATGCTCACATCCAACATCGCGCAGATCAGGATCGCGAATGCAGGGCAGTTGCAGGGAGCATTGAGCCGCGCATCGAAATTCCAAAGTGTGGCCTTGCGGGTTTTGCATGGTTGGGTCTTCAAATCGGGCTCCAAAGAATGAAGATACAATGTCGCCTTCCAGTATGTACTAGGAATCTGTGGCGACCGACATCAGGCGCATGATGTGGCATGGTGAGGAATGGAGTAACGTCAACAGCCCCGCCGTTTGCGCGCGCACACTGGACATGGGGATGGACCTCCCATTGTGGTTTGTTGGGGTGTACATCGAAGACAGGGCGGCAAACGACGAGATGGCGGCGTACCAGGAGGCAATTGTGATGCGGCTGACCGCGGCATTCAGCACGGCGATCGAAACGACCCAAAACGTCGATTGGGGACGCGTTGCACATAAACGTCTATCTCGTCTAGTTGAAAGCTTCAAGGAGCTGTTGGCGGCGTGCATGTGGATCATGCGAATGGCGGGAGATGATCTGCGCTCGCACTACGAAGCCTTCTACTTCACCAACATGCTCGCCAAGCCCCTGCTCGTCGCGTCCATGCACCGTTTGTTCAATCGTCGACGGCACATCATGTCCGCAGCCAACTCCGCGACCGAACGGCTGGGGAAGGCGCAGGTGACGTTGGGGCACTCCCCGAACTTCCTGCCGAACTGGGTGCCTTGCGGCATTAAGTTCCAACATGACGCCAACTTGTCAGGGCCCGACGAGGCGAGAGGGCTTCAGTGGTTGGGGACAAGGCCAGCCGCCGACGACGACGACGAAGATGACGAGTAGGAGGAGGAGGAGTGAAAGTGGAAAGGGGGGTGTGCGGCGAGGACGAACATGACGATATCGCGATGATGAAAATGCTGCGATGATGATGATGATGATTATGATGATGATGACGATGATGATGCTGATGATGATTATGATGATGATGACGATGATGATGCTGATGATGATAATGATGAACATGATGATGATGATGATGATGATGATGATGATGACGATGATGATAACGATGACGATGTTGATGATGATGATGACGATGATGATGATGATGATGATGATGATGATGATGATGATGATTATGGGAATGACAGTGAACTTCATCATTACGACGGTGATGATGATGATGATGATGACCACAGTGACGACGATGATGATGACGACCGTGATGACGAGTTGGCGATGTGGGAAAAGTTGCGAAAGGCCCTGCATGGCGCCCGTCATTAGTTGTAGGTGGTGCTATATTTTTCGTAATTTTGGCTTGGCGGTCATTGCAGTAGCCGGTCAGTTTCTGCGTACGGTCATTACGGCGGTCCAGTGCTTGTTTTTTATTTATTTATTTATTTTTTGTACGAAAGGCTCGTTTCGTCCACCTGTTTATCCCTTCCCAAGACGCTGATGATGACGACGTGCATTGGTGTGGCAGTCGGGGGGCCTTTTTATTTTGGAGGACAATCACCCATTCAAAGTTCACGTCCAGAAGGACGGGTGGTGTGTGTGAACGATATTAATTGCTGCAGTTTAACGACTTCTTTTGGTGCATCATTTTCAGAAGACCTTGCCAGGCTTGTCGTCGCCTTCATACATGTCTGAATGTTGTCATCTCTGCATTCGATGATGTTATTATCTCTACATTCCATGAGCATTGCATTGCATTGAATTTTTATTTTTATTTTCGTAAAAGGAAAGTGTGAATAAATGAACAGAGCATGTGGATCATGAAACTGGGATACATCATTCGCTAATTGAAGACAACAATTGTTAATTGACAACTTTTGATGCAAGTTTTCTTAATCGAAGAGAAGAAATGGCAACGGCAAAATAGGACAACCTTTGCAATGCGACGACCGACAAATGAACGACTGCAAGCCATTCCAGCTTGTCAACTTTATCATCTATTTCATAACTCACAGTAAGCATATGGACAACGAACCGTTGCAAACCATTCCAGCACTTCAAGGTAATCATCAACTCAAAATGAATTAGAAAACGCATGTCCCGTTCTGTAAGGTTGGAGACCATCCACTCTAAACAACAGCTACACGGCACGACATCGCTGGTGAAAGACCGCACTCCCTCCAGAGGCGCAATACAAACCAACCCTAAACCGCACAATGACTAATGGTGACACACGGCACCCACGAACTTAACGTCGTCGATCGTGGACCGCTGGACGACAACCTGCACACCGGTGGCAATCCAAGAACACGAGGAAGCAGAAAACAAACCCGAAGTCCACTCTCGATGCCACGACACACTCCCACCTCCCATCCCAAAGAACCACCAACTTGGCCCCCCGCCCCCCCCCTCCCCCCGGCGTGCGAACGGGCGGACTACTGACCATCCCACGGTAGGCTAATCATCGATGACATCAACCCTATTGTGCCGCCCGCCATACCGAACGTGGCACTCCCACGCTCTTCACGACCCACACCCCGCAGTTGCACGCGCCTACATCAAAGCCAGTCGGTCTCGAAGTGCATCCCTCAACAGATCCCCGTTGACGTTCGTGCTTTGTTGCCTCCCGCCATACCCAAGTCCACTCTACACAATTTCCCACCATGCCCAAGTCCACTCTACGCCGGACACCGTTTTCATCCACCTCCCACAGCAGGTTCTCGCCGAACTCGATCCCCACATCCAGGAGGATGTTGTGGAGAGTCTATACGGCGACGAATTGCTGCGGCAAGGTCTCCAAGTTCGTTTTGTGGGTGCGCAGGAATAGACACCACATGCACTTCAACCGCCCGAACGCCCTCTCCACACACCCCCGCGCCACCTTCTGCCGCATGTCGAAACGTTCCTCATCAGGACGTTGCTCGATTCCTCCGTACGGATGGACGATCCATGGACAGGCAACGGGGTACCCGTTGTCACCGAGAAGGTAACCTCGCGTGACGACACCATGTGGCAGATTCTCCGGAGGGGCGTCGAAAAGCTCGTTGCTTTCTGCGCGCCTTCACAAATGGGAGTTCTGCAGGACACGGATGTCGTGCACACTTCCCAGGTATCCGACGTGGACGTTCAGGATACACAGATCCAAATCGACTACCACATACGCTTGAACGGAGAACTTCTGTTTGCGGTCGTAGTAGTTATCTGACGGCGCACCGGCGGGCTTGTCAATATACGTGTGCGTGCAGTCGATTGCGCCGAAGCAGTTAGGGAAACCCTTCTCCCGAAAAGCCCGCAGTATCTGCACACGTCTCCGCCCAATAGACCACTTGATGGATTCGGGGTACGCCTTCAACAGCGTTGAAGTTACATCACTGACGGTCTGCAATCCAGTGGCCCTGCGGATGCCCAAGGCTAACGTGCCACTCTCGAACGTCTCCTCGGAGGCCCAACTAATGTACAACGCGAAAGCAATGACCTGCTCCGCAGGCAATGGCATCCTATAATGTGTGACCTTCTTCTCGACGTGAGCGGCGCATGCGGCAATGATCTGCATGAAGACAACCCTGGACATACGCAACTTGTCACGGAAGTACTCTTTCGGCGCGTCGTCACACAGTCGGAGATCCTCCCAAGTTTCGCCTGTCCTTCGTTTGATTCACCATCGCGGCGTTTCCCGCGGGAAGACACCGGGGTAGAGCGTCGCGCACAACTGCAGGACCGCTTCAGACGTCGCCACACAATCCAGCGCTTCGACGACGCGTTGCAACAGTGCTCTGCGCTTCCGCAACTGCGAACGCTTCTGGCTTTCCGTGGACGACATGTCGCCCACCGAGCTAAGGACCACGACAGTCACCGCCATCGCCACCGCCTCCCTCTCTTCTTCACGCAACCCATGGCCACCGCCACAAACGTCCATCCCCATCGCCCTTTCGCCTCTCACGGATAACGCTTGCAACCGCCGTCGAAGATGACCCCGCTGCTCTTCCCTCCCACATGACACTGCGCACGCCGCTCACGACTCGCACAAACGCGAAAAATGGAGTTCCGCGTCAACGAAATCACCACCACCGTCATTTGTACCTCCCACACGTCGCTTGCAAGTCCTCCAGCCCGCCTCCCTGCAAGTCCTCCATCCCGCTTCCCCGCGTCCGCAAAAATTCGAATTCAAATTTTCGAACGTCGTCCTTCCCGTGCTTCCCACCTCACCCTCCTCAACTGGGCAGGACCCACCACTGTCTGCACCAGGGACACCAGGCTGCAATGGGCGGACATCGACGGCGTGGTTGCGTATACGTATATGAGAACTGGCCGCGGGAGACCATTTAGCACGATTCCTAAAAGAATTTTTTAAGCATTGCATGCGACGACGCCGCAGCAAATCCTAAAATTCTCTTAGGATTCCTTTAGGAGTGTCTAACAAGACCCTTAGTGTCTACCACTTAGGATCATCTAGGATCATCACCCTCCAACCTGGGGGTGACCTGACCGAACCGTGGTTGTAGGTACCGGGGCTTAGCAGAGTCCCACATACCCCACTCAGCCCCGATCGAAGCATAGTTGAGCGAGCCTTGTCGCCTAGGTACTTCAGGTGCTAGGTACAAACGTTTCACTACAAGTCCCATAGCTGGACCTTATTTTTGCGTTCCTATCGTTGTGCACACAGTTGTTGTTACTGTTGTTTGTTGTTAGGTTGTTCGTTGTGCACACCGTTGTCATTATTGTTGTTGGTTGTGAGCCATTTTTTCAATTTTTTGTATGAGTGTGGGAAGCAGGTAATCTACCCTACTGGCCATAGCCCCCTACTAAGTTCTCATCTCCTCAACTGTTCGCGTTATAAGTCTATGTTCCTCCCACCAAACCCCTCCGTGCCTAATGGATGACCCCCACAAGATCTCCAACTAGCAACGTGAAAAAAAGATTTAGCTCAGTGGTTAGAGTGCAGTTGATGTAGCTCAGTGGTGAGAACACCGGTTGGAAATGCGCATTGTGGTATAAGGTTGCGGGTTCAAAACGCAATTGCAGCCTTGCGCATGGACACCGGCAGGGCATTAGAATGACGCACGGCTGGACACACACCCCCGTGGGCTGACGCACGGTAAGCTTATACAGACACTGCTTGCGCACCACCCAAGGGGTTGTCCATGGTGTTGTATGTCGGGTCTTGATACTGCGTGGGTTGCTTGTGGTTGTTGCTCGTTGTTGTTGCTCGTCGTTGTTCTGTTGATCTCCCCGGTCTGGCATATCACACACAGGGGCCGTTTGCGATTATCGCTCAAATACTAAAGTCTTCAGGTCATAGATCACGGGTTCAAGTCTGGCTTGGGACTTTGGGGGGGGTTCTTGTCCAGCTTGGCCTGTCATCTCTTCAAACGAACACATAGTTCCCTCTACATAGTACTGCACATATCTGGCCTTCGGGCACACATATCTCGCTATACAGTTACACAGAGCACACATAGCCTGGAAGAGGCCCAAGTGATCATGACAATTATACTGTAATTATGCTGTAATGGGACGCTGGACCGGAAGGCGGCGCGCGTTAGCGCTAGCACTAACGCTATGGCTGGCGGGCGCCGGGCCGCCGCGGCACGCGGATGGTGGCATGCTGGTTGCTTGCAGGCGAGGCGCTGGCTGGTCGGAGGTGGTGGCAGGTTGCGAGGCGCTGGCTTCTCGCAAGTGGCGAGGCGCTGGCTGTGTGAGTGCAGCGAGGCGCTGGCTGCTGGCGGGGAGCGAGGCGCTGGCAACAGGTGAGTGGTGGGACGCTGGTGACTTGCGACTGGCGAGGCGCTGGCTTGTGGTGACTAGTAGCATGCTAGCTGACACATGGCGCAGTGCTGGCAGCCGACGGGAGGGAGGCGCTGGTGCGAGAGTGCAGTGATGTTGTGAAGTAGATGGGGGTTAGCGCTTGACGCACGCGCGGTATCTAGAGGCGCTGGGTCATTACT